GTTTTATAAATGAGACCCCAGGTGGTGGTGGTGGTTCAGAGCCGAATCGCTAGTTTAGCACTTCAGCAGCAGAGGCAATGAAGAGTGACACTGTGGGATGTATATGGGTGGGAAGTATAAATGTGTTAGACTGACATCGCCAGCAGATTACTGTGCAACCTCTTAGTTCATTTTGACTTCCAAGGCTGTTATCGCTAGGCGTACACCAAGACCTCTGGATGCAATTGGATAGATCCACAACCAATCGGGCAACGAAACGTGTGACATAGCGCTAAGAAAATGCCTCAACGCTGCTCCTCTGTACAGTCATCGTATCAAACCCACCCCGTATTACATAAACGGTTGTTAGGGGGCAGACAAATGCCAGAACAAATAAAATACAAGCTTGCACATTTGTCTGGTTATAAATCTGCGATGTGGTTAAAATCCATTATCACAAGTGGTGTAATTGAATATTAATATATATATTTATACATTTTCTAGTAAACCAACTGAGACACTGTTTGTGGATAAAATAGCAAAAAGCAAATGTCCCGGCATCAGCTAACAGCTTTGTGTGTTTTCACTATCAGCTGCGACGCTCTGAAGAAGACGAGGAGAAGGAGGAGGACATCGAGGTCCCTAAGGCCATGGGGGATATCTTTGAGTCGCTAGCGGGAGCAATTTACATGGACAGCAGGATGTCACTGGAGACGGTGTGGCAAGTGTATTATCCTATGATGAGGCCACTTATAGGTGAGGAAGACGGAAAGCACATTTATTTATTTATTTCTGTCTGCAGGGAACTTGAGTGATCAGAAACATTCAGGATATTTACCATTTGTGTTGACATGAAATATTGAGGGTCTAAGGATTTTTTATTTTTTATTTTATTTTTTTTATCTCACAACCCCCCGTCCCTTCACCACTTTCAGAGAAATTCTCTGCCAATGTGCCACGCTCTCCTGTGAGGGAGCTGCTCGAGATGGAACCAGAAACTGCCAAGTTCAGGTAGGAGATCAGCACCTATATATATATAAGTTGAATTTCACGGTTTAAACGAAGATGCAGTTTAAGTTAACTTAAGTTTAAGTAGAACAAATGTATTTCTTTGCACACAAAATGTTTTACTTTTTTTCCAATAAGAATTAATTTGGTTCATAAAGATGGGTGTAAACAGAAGTAAATCGTCTTCTAAGTAAAGGTAAAACTCATGATTTTGGTGCTAACACTGTACAATCTGATTATGCTCACACTGTACATGTAAAATAGAAAATAAAATGACATCAACCCCTGTGGACTCTTCTGCCTATTGATAGTTGTCAATAGAGTTTTGTTTGAAAACTCCAAGGCAGGTAGAAGTTTGTTTGCATCTGTGCCGTCAAAACATATCATAACTTAACGTATCACGATATAGGGGTTATCTTTCAGTATATTGTGCTAAAACTGTAAGAAAGGCTACATTTTTAAAAATCACATTTTAAGAATTGTGTCTTGCTATAAAAAGAACACATGCATAAAATCGGATTAAAAAAAGTTTACTTTTATCACAAAACAATATAACATCACAAAACGCGATATGATATTTTTCTTTATTTTCTTACACCCCTAGTTGTGATAGGGAGAGGAGGAAGAAACACCAAAGAGGCTTGCATGTTGTTGCCACAGCTCAACCAGCATACATATTTTTCTTGTCGCCACGGTGCTTACAGATGCTGTGTTTGACAATTTGCGCAGGCACAGTGACAAAAAAGGTAGATACTTTGGTTAATTGGCTAATAAGTCAGATTCAACTGCGCAAGAGCCTGAGCTGATGTCACAAATCAGCTGACTGTCCAGTCCTCGCTCCCCCTGTACAAAGCATGGCACACAACACCCGACAAAGCTAAAATGGGTCAGAAACTGGCTCAGATGTTACAGTGTATGCCAGCTTAACATGGCTCTGTAATTGTACGGCTTGAATTAGGGATGTATCAAGACAACAGTTTGCATTATATGGGAAGCTGGGGAAATTAGGAACAAAGGTTTATGTATAGTAGCCTGTTTCAAATAAAGTCCTTGCTCTCTCTGCAGTTGGGAATTTTGGGTACCTACATTGTGAAACCCTGTAACCTTTCCTCTGTGTGCAGCCCTGCAGAGAGAACGTACGACGGGAAGGTCCGGGTGACAGTGGAGGTCGTCGGTAAGGGCAAGTTCAAAGGAGTTGGCCGCAGCTACCGGATCGCCAAGTCGGCGGCGGCGCGACGAGCTCTGCGCAGCCTCAAAGCCAATCAACCTCAGGTCCAAAACAACTGAGCTCAGCATTAGCACCTAAGCTATTGACGCTAACGGAGAAAAAGCAGCGTTGGATTCCCAACATAGCGCAATGCTAGCCCTGTATCTTCAGCCTGCGATGGCACAACCAAGGCAGCCAGGGAACACTGTGTGGATACGCAACAAAAGAAGCAGACTGATCTCACAACAGATTTCACATCGGATCTTGTACCTTTTTTTTGTTTTGTTTTGTTTTTTTTGCGCAAACACAATCTTTACTTTCCCTCTCTGCTTTGTGTAATCACATGAGTGCTTTATTAACGTTTAGCAAAGTGTTTAAAAAAAGGTCAGGTCGCAATGTCTGTTCCTCACTGTTTTTGATTTTTCTTTTGTTTGGGTTAACCTCCATGTCAGTGAGATAAGGCTTCTGCTTATTGTGTAGTATTTGACTGTACATAGTTCAATCAAAGGTGTAAATCAAAGTATGTAGTAGGACGAAAAGAAAAAAAAAACGCTAAACTCCTCAGCCTGTGCACTAGTGCCAGTCAGTTTTAAAGCGGTTTTTAAAACGCTAACGGCAGACGTGGCTAACAGATACCACTGGAGCAAAAACCTGGTGGCACTTCTGTCTGAAATCTGTCTTGAAATGGTATTCTTAATCATATTTGCACTTATTCCATTAGGGTCTGTTACTTTGAGAATTGTGTGGTCACATTGACACCAAAATCATATACGTAGCAAAAAATATAAATATATATAAAAAGAATAAAATACATGAATGATATTCTTGGCCTTAAATGCTAAGGCTCACCCTCATATCCTGCAAAACGGATAGGAATTTCAACATTCCCAGTTACTGTAATTTAAACTAGTTTTTAACCACACTTGAGGTTGCATGTTCTTGTAGCTTATGTATAAACCACGACAACTGGATGGCTTCTATAAATGTTCTAAATCTATGGATATATCTAGAGTGTGTGAGAGCGAGATTAGGTGTTTACGGCATTATTTTGATGATTTGGTTTAACATGTTTTGATACCAAGAATGGATGAAATCGAATTAGTCATTCTTGCGCACTAAATGTCTTTCCACAAAGCGAATCATCCAGTTTTGATATATGTACGAAAAGAAAGACATATCACACATTCAATATGCTGCAGACTTTTCTACAAATTGGATACTCGCGTTAAGACACACAATCTTTTCAGATAGTCTTTTGTGAAAAAGGCCAATTAATTTCAACACACTAGTGTTCCTCACATCCCGTACCTACCAAAGCTATAACAGATGTGACACTATAAGGTTGAAGTCAATTCCTAGGGATAAGGATACCAGCCTTTTTTTTTTTCTTCTTCTTTTTTGTGGTTTCTGTTCTGACGAATTTTGCTTCTCGCTAAATGTCTTTTTTTCTCATCAGTAAGCCCTTGTTCACTTGAATACCTCAGTTAATTGCATGCATTTTCTTTTCTTTTTTTTGTTTGGTGCTATGTTTTTGTATTAAGCTTGAATTTCTCATCTTTTTTGCACTGTAACTATAATACCTCTTTATTTGACCTATTTTTTAAAAAAGAATTAATTTGATTTTTTTTTTTTTTTTCTGTTTGATTTGGTTGTCCTGTATGTCAGCCATCAAGCTGTAGAGGAGAGCTGCATTGTCGTCTTTTCCCCCCTTCCATACTTGAGGTCCATACTTGAGGTTCAGACTTGATGTCTTTTTGGGTTTTTTTTTGATTGGGGAAGAAGAGGAGGAAGTGAAAGCAGGAAATGTATTCTCTGCACATAAGCCTATCTACATCCCCCCTCCCCCTTTCATTTATTAACTGTTAGTTTCATCAGTTGAGAATCTGTTTTTGAATTCTGGGTAAAAACAAACAGAAGATTGATTGATTGATCAGATGGGTAAATGTTTGTAGAGATAATCAGATTGCACTCTTAAACTTAAATTTCTCTGACATTTACTTCAAAACATAGAAATATATGGGTTGGAAGAGACACATACCCACGTGGTTTCTGTGTTAGTATCTGAAATCAAAGTCATAGTCCTGCAATGCCACCCACAGGTGCTTCTACCTCAAGGACGGTGCGCTCAGTGTTAATTTCTGGACAAAACTGCAGTTAAAGTCAGTAACTTTCTGACTATAATACATAATGTAGTCTTCACTGTGATACCTATACAGTCTATGTCACATATGTAATACACAACACAGGTATCTGCTTCACTGAGTCGACATTCCCTTACAGTGATTTTTGTCTAAAATAGAAACAAACTAAAGTCAGTGCCTTCTCTGTGGGAGATCAGTGTCAGCATAGACTAGATTTAAATTCAACATAAAGTTAAATGAATGAATCAAAATTTGAGGATGTATATGCAATTGTTTGTGATTTTGTTTCTGCTTAAAAAAGTGATAAGTAAATCATGTATTTTCAACTGAAGATTTTAACCAGGTCTTCTCTGCCACATATGATTTGTAAGTTTACCCTACAAAATATTAAAATAATAATGTAACCCATTAAACCTACCCAAATACTTTTGAACCAATTAAAAGAACAAGTGACAAACAAAAGAAGACTGAACTGACCCAAGAGAAACTGAAAGTAGTTCCAGTAAATGTTTCCTGATACTTAATTAACCATGGCCCTAGAACCACTTGGGGTCCAGGGACTCCCTGGTTCACTATGTAGCAATGAGTTTGCAGTTTGTTTGAAGCACATTTGGTGCCACCTTATCAAGCCCCAAAACATAACTTAGCATTGCTTCAATGTTACAATCTTAGCCTCTAGCTAACATGACAAAAACCTTTCTTGTAGCTTGTTTGTGTTGAAAAGAAACAAATTTAGAATTTGGATAAAAGATAAAAACGACCTGTAGTCACATCTTAGGTTAGGTAGCCACTGTTAGCTATTGTTATTGTAGCTGTCTTTTTGCCAACAGTATTTGTAAGCTAGTTAGTTAGCTAGTGTTTTGCTACAGACCAAGAAATGGCTAACTAGCCAGCTAATCTACATCAATTGTTAGCTAGCTAGATTCATCTGAAAGAGATATTTTAGCAAAACGCTATCCAATCAGTTTAGCATTTCTCGCTAACATTAGCTAGCTTAAGATGTGACTATATGTATGCCACTTTTTTAAAAATCTTTTAACCATCTTTAAAATGTGGTTGTCTNNCTAGCATATAAGCATATCTAAGTATAGGAAATGAGTAAGGAGTTCTGAACAATTATTGGAGTAAAAAGGGGTGGGACATTTCACAGACAATACAGTTTGTCCCAAGACCCAGGGTCAGGTTATCAGGGTTCAGGTCAGCCCCAAAACCTCTGCTTGACAGTGAAATGAGAACAAAACCTTCAATTACAGCTCAAGTACAAGATCTGCATTTTTAATATGTTGAGTAGGGTTATGTGAAAAAAACACATTCAAATCCAGTCTTTGCTAGGACTGCTCTTTATTTTTGTTGTCTACCAACAGCTAAGCTCTCAGACCTCTGGTTGGGTGCCATAGATAACCATGTGAATACTAAAGTGTAGATTTGTGAAATCCCTTCATGTTAAAAATCAATGTGAACTCAGTGAACACCGTGAAACTTGAGTACATCTCTGTAAAATCTGTCACTGTTCAAAAGAGTGCAATCTGTCATTATTTCTCAGGCAGCTGTCTACCCTCTAGTCTACCTTTTTAAACCCTTAAATCTGGGCTGTGTTTTTTGATTTCCCTGTTAGAGCGATATCGTCAGACTTAAGATTTGGAGCAGCCCTCCAGTTAGTGCACACACACACACACA